TACAGTAGCTTTTTTTAAATACAATTGGTCACTTGCGTCCGTAGCACGCATTCCTATAGAGTGGTATAGAATTACAGAGTATCTCTTGTGTCCACTGAAGTGTTAGCACGCACTGTATCGTAGTACGTAGGCTGCGTATTAGACACGTATTAAAATACAAAATATGAAAACCCGTCCCGATTTTTCAGCGCACATGACACAGTTCCAGGGTCATTTGGCGTACCACTTGGCGGCACTTCAAGTACCACTGCTGGTACGCGTACCACAGTTTGAGAACCACTGAGCTAGGAGATACAAATCTCTGCCACACTAACCCCAAAAGCAATTTACAGTCCTTAAACTAAACAAAGCTGCTTAATGAAGGCTGAGTTAGACTACATAAAGGCAAGTGTAAATCAATTCCTCCTTAGAACAGAAAGTATTAAATGTTCATTCATTTCTTGTCTATTCTTGAGAAAATATGTTTTGCAGATGTTTTACATTCCAATATAATACTTCTTTTACTGCTTTTATATTTAATTCTTGTCTTGATTGTACTTTACTTAATTGTTCTGTGTTTAGCAATTTGCTTTGTTTCTGTTTTTCTGTTTTCTGTTTTTTCTGTAGTTCTTTGAAATACTAAACTGTCCTGTCAAATGAATTAAGGTTAATTTAATTTCATCTTGTTTTGAAGAACATATTTTCTGGAATAACTGCCATCCCTGGAGTACCTAAGAAGACTGGTGCTTAATTTGAAGTTGTAGGAGTGATTTGTGCTTGTTAAGTATGCTGAAAAAAAAGCCAATAAAGATACCAGTTGATCACTAATATCTTGCTTTTGAAGTAATTTAACTCTCAATACGTTTTTTACGTTTTCCGAAAGGAAGAAAGTAAAGGTCCATTTTAAAACGTGTATCATGAGTGCCACCTGGCCCTTTCGTTAAAAAACCCAAGATAACGGTTTTGTTTCGGATTCGTTCATTCTTTTCTTGCGCTCATTTATTTTATCTTTTTTTTCTTTAACAAGAAACGACAGGTCCTGTTGTAAAGAGAGAATTGCAATTTTTAGTTTTAAAAATCCTTGTAATCCTTGTAATCCTTACCCCACAATCATAAACTATAAACTACTGCGCTATGTAAATATATTGCTAACCATAAGCTGTAGCACTTAGTGCAAAAAATTTAGCTTCATCTGCTTTATTTTTAACAGCCAAATTAATCAGTAAATATAAAAAGTACAACTGTCAACCTAATGTGCATATTAATCTTTTTTTTTCCACCATTAAAACCTTACAGATACACCGTTCGGTTATTATATACAGCTTTTCTTTTTTGCTTGATTTTAGGAATTTCATTTTAATAGAGATTTTAGAAATCGGTTATATTAGATACAAATCCATTGCACGGACACAGTTAATAGTAAAGCTCAGAAAACCTTTATTAAAAATAAAATGCAAAACATGAGCTTTCAGACGTATTAATTTTCTGCTCGCTTTGGTACCAATCTGGTTTGCACAGTGCTTCCTCTTCTGTCTTTTCCTCCCAGTTTCGTCTGCCCCACACCCTTTTATGGTATACAATTAACTCGTTTCGGTCGTCTTGTACAGACAGCATCACTGATAACATTGTCAGCTCACTCTAGAAGAAGGTTTTACAGCAGAAACGTTGTTTCCTTTTTTCAGCATGGAATAAACCTACAGTATTACTTGTTCCTTTGCAAACTACGCATGCTGACGCAGCTACCCACCTGAACTATTGTCAGCTTTATGTACAGTACATCGATTGTTTGTGAGGTACTGTTGTTAAAATAACTCGTTACTAGTTATTTATCGGTCATATTTATATAATTCTGGCAAGATTTGGGGTTTTCTTTATTATGATAGAATTCCACTCCATAGTTATAATTTCCTTAATGTATAAACAATAATAATACAGTTGCATTTTATTTGCAGTATTGACTTTCAATCTAAATTACCTCTAAAAGTGAAACAGTGCCTAAAGCCATACACTTAAGGCAGTAAAGGCATTCACATAACTAGAGGTAAAATTGTAATTTGCAGTAGACTACACTGGCACGATTTTTTTCTCTTTCAATAGTAACGTGTATTTAACCATCATAAAAGTTGGGCCGGAAAGTTTGGTTATTTATGCACCTTAAAATCGTAACGTTAGTCACACATCTGTTAGTCACAGATTAAATAAGCCTGAATAGTGTGTGCTGCAAGTTACTCCCCAAAGTGCGCGCATTGATCATGTGATATTAAAATCTTCAGCTTATCGTATAAAATATCAAGGGAAACGAAAGTTAACCGTGCCTGCTGTTCAGATAGCACAGCTGAAGATCTGCATGTCCGCTATCCGAAGACAAAGTAATGGGTGATGATCTGTCGCTTAAACTTTATATTCTGAGGGGTTTGCCAGGGACATTTAAATCTCAACGTGCTGAGTAAGTAATAAAATACTGTCTTCTGTTACCCGAATGTGTATTTTTTTTCTATTCTGCGTACAATTTAAACCAGGAATGCAGTGTCAGAAGCTTACTACCAATATATGGTAGTCCAGTCCTCACTCATTTTAGAGCAATCATTGCACTTAGAAAAGTGGTACTATGGATTTTGAAATTTGAACAAGACGGTGGTTCTTGTTTACCGAATTAATATGTTTCCTCGCTGGGACTTAACAATTAAATGAAATACTACAGTGATGTAATTTTCATACCCTCGAAAGGTTCTGTAGTTGTAAATCTACAATTGCTTGCTATTTGTGTGCGGTGATTCATTCATGATTCTTACATTCAAAAAACTAAATAAAATATTATACAACTTTCCTTTTTATGCATCACCATATTTAAACGTAAGCCTACTATGATGTTTTTCTTAAAAATGCATTTTAGAGGACTGTAATCTTCACATAATGCGCCATTTCCTGAAGTGTTGTTTTAATAAGAAAACTACAGTGTACATAAGAGTGCTTAGTGTTTTCTCAAATGTTTATGTACAAATGTATACAGTATGTATGTACTGTATATGACTCCTTAAATTTCTTAGAAATTTAGTATAGGATTCTAGGCTGCAGTACAGTACTTCGAAAGCTACTTCTGTGTTGATTATGTTGTCATTAGAATTAAAATTTGGGAAAATATAATTACAAATTCATTTCCTAATCAAAAAGTGATGTCATGTACAATAACTTTAGCTCTATTTGTTTGTTTTTTAAATTTGTGTTTTAAAATTAAGTTCTGCCATGAGTATTTTTTATATATCTACCAGCAAATACAGTATAAAATAAAAGTCATGTTTCGAACAATATTTTGATTTTTATTGTATTTTATTTCTTAAATGTATTTACAATTCAGCGTTTCTGTGTATAAAGGGGAAAGCTTTACATTGCTGGTGAACTAAACTCATATGCATTATATAAAGGATTCTAAATGTCTGTGTATCTTTAATGTTTTTACATCTAATGCTTGAATGAGCAGTGTACAGTAGTTATTGCTGTATTTAAGCCATTGATAAACTCTGGGGAAAGCTCTTTGAAACCTCAAATAAGGCAATGAGTATAGTAACCTCAAAAGATTGATCAGGCAGTGTGTCCAAAGACATACTGTACTGTTAGGTTAATTGGCTTCTGGGAAAAAAAGTGGCCCTGGTACAGTATGTGTGTTTGCCCTGCTGTGGACTTGTGTGTCCTTTCTTGCATCCTTAGCCATGGCTTCACCCGCAACAGTACTGGTTAGAGTGGTTTGGAAGAAAGATGTATGTAATTTAAATGATTTTCTTTTATCAGACAATTAAAGGGTGAGAATGGAAAGGTACTGAGCAGTGATGACTACTTCAAGAGAAATGGAAAATTTGACTACAATGAACAAGATCAGGACAAGGCACACCGGGAGAATGAGAGAAAAGGTATACGTAAACGTTTGCTGGAATTTTAAAACATTTATAGAATTGGAACATCTTTGCTAGTGTAAAACGCAGTCTTTAATTGTGGTCTTACATTTTTTTCAAATAAACAGCATGGAAAGCCATGAAAAGAGGGATATCCCCTGTAATCATTGACAACACCAACGTCCGCCTGTGGTATATGAAGTCATATGTTGAAATGGTAAGGAAGACTGATGGAAAAGAGAGTTCTGAAGTGTAATTGTGTGAATACACTTGACATTTTCTAGTCTGTTCTTTTTTTTAAGCAGAGTTTTTAAACAATGAAAACAGATGGAATGCAGCTGAAGTATTTGTGTGTTTTTTAAATGAAAATGGAACACAAGCAGTGGCGATTATTAAGGAGCCCGTAAAGGTTTATTCCATGCTGAAAAGAGACGAAAAGAAACCTTTCCGCTGTGGAGCCTTCTTCGGGTGTGGCAATTGTTAGGCAGTTTTTTGGCTTCTCAAGGGGATTTCCGATGTCTGATATCGATAAAAAAAAAGAACCGGAAGTCAGACATTTTCAGTCTGCATTTTGTATTACTGAACTGGTTGAAAAACACATTTTAACCATAACTGATTCAACTCCATAACAGAATTTTTACAGATCTGTGCTAAGCTGGTCAGAGTAAATAACTTAGTTTTACAATGACACAGCAGTATTCTCTGCATGACACCCAGGAACATTTTTTAGAGGATTAAAACTTGCCTAGCTTGACTTAGACACATCATGAAGGATGAACCAAACAGCTTTTCATTCAGTCCAGTTAGTGGCAAGACTAGTAATTGTTACTCACTTAACTAGGAAAATGTTTCATACAGGGGCATCTTTAAAACACCTTCAAGGTGTGCTGTCATCATAGTATGTATTTTGTAAATAAAATTCAAAGGGTACAGATAAGGTCAACCCAGAGTTCCGCTTCAGAGTTCTTATCAAAACAAAGTCACAACTGGAAGTGATTAAGGAGCTCAAATGGCAGTTAAATTACTAAGCATTGATTTCATAAAAAATGGGACTTTTTTAATTACACTGGAGTTTTTAAAGGCTGTATCGTGAGGTGCAGATACATATTTTTCTCTTACATTTTTAAAATCCGGTGTACAGATAAAAGCTGAAGACTTGCAGGTACACCAGGGATAGCACTCTTTTATTGTACAGCATGTGTTTTGGAAGGGTGCAAACTTTAAGGTATTTTATTGTCTGTTAAAGTAAGGCCTGAACGGAAAACAATTATGCAATAAACATTGGTAATGACTCATCTGACAATCCTCAGAGAAACTAGTAAAAATTACCTCACAATAGTTTTTAAAAATCTGTATGACTCATAAAACGTCTCTGAAAATGTACAGGCAGTATGTTGACCAAGCAGGTGCCCAGAAAAAAATAAGCCCTGGTTACCTAAGATTCTGTGGTGGAAGATGATGCTGTTTTCTTATTGAGGTTTGTCCATAGAATACTCAACAAATAGAGCAGTGACTTGTTTAAGAGGCAAGGAAAATGTATCAGTGCTCAGTACTTTTCTGTCAACACCTCAATTCCTGTCTGAACTTTTATCGCCCTACTCCCCACCTCGGAACCTCCTTACTGTCCCCCAAGCCCGTCTACATTGTATGGGCGACAGGGCCTTCTCCTGCTATGCCCCCAAGCTCTGGAACTCTTTGCCCAAGGATATTAGAGAGTCACCTTCTCTAAACTCCTTCAAATCTAGACTCAAAACCTTCTTCTTCAGAAAAGCCTTTACTTAACTGGTTCCACTCTTCACCCCTCTGCTCTTCTTAATACCACCTTCCATGGTCTCCTCTATTGTTATTGGTGTATTGTTGTAATTATAATTGTGTCCTATCTTGTGAAATCCTCTTAATTATTGTTGTAGTCTTCTTATTTATTGTTATTGTCATCCTGTAAAGCGCTTTGAGAAGTCACCTTTAAAGGCGCTATATAAAATACAGTTTATTATTATTATTATTATTATTATTATTATTATTATTTGGTACTGAGTACAATTTGCATTTTTACTGTACTACCTGGTTGATCGAAGGAGTGCCTGAATTAATCTTTGGAGATTCTTAAAACAAGTCTGTGCTTGCTAAAGCTTCTGTGGTGGGAGATTATATACTACTTCCATCATATTGTCCCATCAATTACACTTTCTTAATACTTTAGAGCTTCTTCTCCAGATGTGAAACAACATGAGGTACTCAAACATTGCATTTCTTTGTATATGCTTAATAGCTTACTTTTAAGATGGAATGTGCTGTAGGGCTTCCATGGCCTAATAACAGTATTGATATACAAAAATAATCTAAGGTTTTCTGTATTTTTTTTTATTGCAGGCTGATGAGTTGCATTATACAATCGAGATCGTCGAACAAAAAGACAACAAAAAATGTAGTATTGAGGAATTATACAGGTACAAAATAATCTGTCTTTGCTTCTCAGTTTCTCATTCCTCTGTGAAAATTATCTGTATTTCCTACCAAAATTAAAAATTAACTTTGTACTGGTATTTTCCACCTGTGCTTTTATGTCGGAGGAATATTCTAGGAGGATATCTTGTTATTACAGATCAAGATTATTACAAAACTAATCTGGCTAGTTTGGAACATTATACTTGAGTCTATACAATATTGGAAACATACAATTCACAGCAAAACAAGAAGAGAATACCTCTCAAAGTAGGAATGTCCACTTGTACCTGTAATTACAGCTTCAGCACATAACAGCATCAATTCCACAGCTGTCTGAGGCTACACATCCAGCAGTAGGTAACACAGCTATGTATCAAATACGATATGAACTCACCCTTTTTAATCAACAGAAGCAGTTCTGATTTGAATTCACACAGATCATCCTCACCGCTATCTTGAATTTGGGTCGTTAAGCATTGTGTTAATTATCACATTAATCTGGCCATGTTTTCAGAGGACATGGTCGTATAAGGGTTGGTGTGGTGATAATCACTAGATCACAACACCTGTTTTATACCTGCTCTTGGTATTTCAGAATCCAGGGACATGTGCTTTGGGTCTTGTGGTCAAAAAGTGATTACAAAAGGATCTAAGGTTTAGTCACATGTGCTATTCTCTCAGAATATGTACATGATCCACTGGAGGTTCAGGTTACCCTCCAAAACCAAATAATTCACAAGGTAAACTAAAATATTTTGACCTCTCTAGCTCAGATAAAGAATACATTGTTTTTCCCTTACTAGGTCATGGAACCTTCTTTTAATATGCAAAGTTGTGATTTATTTCAACCTTTCCTTTAAAAAACAACAACAATATTGCATTGTTTGAATTTTTGTATTATAGCTCCCAAGATACAAGGTTGGCAGCATCCAAAACCTTTTACAAAGCGCAGCTTTAAACCTTTGCTAAATATTGATGCCTTAATTACCCTGCAGAGCTCTCATCATAGGCAAACAGGTATACAAATTTTAATGTATGTTGGCATTACACACCAGACGTTTTCTCATCAAAGGCATAATGTTGAATTTTCTTATCAATGTTGTCATAAGAGTGGCGGGACAATGGCAGTGGTTAACACTGCTCTGTCGAAGAGCTGGGACCCTGAGTTTGACTCCTCTGGTGCTATCTGTGTGATTTTTGTACAGTAGGTTCTCCCCATGTTCACACTGGTTTCCTCTAGGTCCTCTGGTTCCTTTCCACAATCCAAAGACATACTGGTATGTTAATTGGCTTCTGGGAAAATTGGTCCTATTGTTAGTGTGTGCCCTGTAATGGACTTGTCTGCCATCCAAGGCACATTATATCTTGTCCTGTGCCTGTTGATGGCTGGTATAGGCTCTGGGTCCCCAGCTCTCCCCTGAACCTGTATTGGATAAAGTGGTTAGAAAATGGATGGATGCTGTCATATAGTTGAAATAAAGTCATAGCTATTGATTGTTCCTCACTCTGTGTACTGTTACATTTCAACAGGAGTGTTGACATCCTCTGGATAAGTGATTCAGCTTAAACTAAAACTATCCGAAGACACGAGGTACCTGTTAATCACAGGAGCATGCCCTGAGGCTACCCAGCCAAACTCCACCTGCTATTTCCAATGCCAGGAATAGAGAATATAGAAGTTCCAAACTTTGCATAATTGGGAAATGGGGTCTTGCTGTGTGCTGTGCATTATATGTACTGCATTGTGTGCTCTTGCATTTGTTTTGATGGTGGGGTCTTAACAGACCCAAATTCAATTAGCACAGATTAATGCTCACTTCCGTTGAGATAATTCGTTCCACAATTACATGAATTGGAAATGCATGGGTGGCTGCAAGTAGTTGAAACTAGATTTATTGCCCTTTTTTAATATATATATATCCTTAATAGGAGAACAAAAGGCACTATACCAATGGATAAGCTGCAGACAATGCGGGATACTTTTGAGGAATATGAAACTGTGGATGATATACGAAATGCGAAGGAGCCCTGGAGGTATTTAAATTCATTTCAGAAATAAATATCTTGCACTAGACACACTGTAGATATGCTAACAATTTGTAATGTATGTTTGCGTAGACTATATCTGAATTTGGATATATTATCCTGAATAATAGGAATTGAATATTATTGTTTCAGGTATCAACATTTGGAATAATCTAAACTGAAATTGATTTTATTTATGTTGACAGGTGAAGGATCACATCTTTAAAAATATATAATTTTTCCATATCTGCTTAACTTATAGATGATGTTCCGCTAATGCTGTTTTTATCTAGATGGCTAATGTCTAATTTTTTTGGACAACAGATCAAACGGTTTTCCCATGTTCTATCTTCAGCAGCAGATACAATCCAAATAATTACTGGACAAGATTATTTTTTCATAATAAATATTTTGGGCAAACTGATAAAGCATAGTAGAAGAAAAAAAACAACAATACATTGGAAGATTAGAGTTTTTAAGAAAAATCTTTCCATGAAATGTCATAGTACTAAATATGTATATGGGTAATAGATATGCAGCAGACCATGATACTGACCAGGCTGACAATAGCTTTGAGTAGAACTGAAACTGACAGAATTGTTTTAAAGAAAGGTACATCTCAAAGGAGTTTGAACCAGAAATAGCCCAGAACTAGGAAATATAATTGACAAGAAAAAAAGACTGAGTTTGACAAAAAAATGTAGGCATGTCAGACACACTTTCCTGTTTCAGCTCCTGTGGCAGTTCCATGTCCAATTAAATTGTAACAAAATCCTCATTGATAGATTCAATGATACATAGTAGCTGTTGTAAAAGACCATGTTAAATTATCTTCCCTTACTCTTTAAGAGGGAGGGGGTTGGGCACACAATATGTACTGTATACCTGACCATTTACTCTTATTCAAAGATTTTTTTTCCCGTTTAGTCTGTCCTAGTCTCTTACTCCCTCTGCAATAAAAAATGTCGCATCTAAATCAAAAGAGTTAGAAAAAAATGTGTTGGCATTATCATTATCTGATGGGCATAATCTAAAATGGAGCAAACACAGGTTAAATCCACGCTGGAAAGTAGGAAGAAGAAACACATCTTTTGGCAATTGAACCTTCTTCAGGTTCTTGCTATCACAAGAAGCATGCAAAGGCTTGACAGCTGAAATGCTATGTTTCTTCTTTCAGTGTGGGATTAACCTTTAATATGTGCTTTGCAGCCCAGTACACAAAAACACAGCTTCTGAACCAAACCTAATCTAAAATGAAATTGGCTGACACATATGTAAATCTGGTTCTAACTTTTCACATCTGAACTGATTGAAACATTAAACCTTTATCATTGCCTTGCATTGATTAAAACCTGATGTCCATTAGGATAAGTGCATTTCTAAAATGTATTCTATGCCTTTCATTCAACCCATAGCTGTACAGTACATGTGTTTGTTGTGTGCCTCAAATACATTCTTGTGGAAAGTTTTCTGACATTGCCTTAGGTATAAAGAAAAAAAAATACGAACTAATTTTGAGATGATATATTCATTTGCATATATCACTCTTACACATGAATATTTCTGCCACCTGGAAATCAGTGAATGGGGAGGCTATGACTGATTGTTTTCTTGATGTCCACTGGAACATTAAATTTGCAATCCAATGACAGAGACCACATCCCGAAGCTCTTTCTCATGAGGGGTGTTCCAGGATCAGGAAGAGCAGCTCTAGCAGGGTAAGATCTTAAGATCTTAAATCTTAAAATGTGATGAACATCCACCTACCCACATGCATGCACATGTATGCTAAACATGGTTCTAACTCCTCATGTCTAAACTAATTGAAACATTTAAGCCTTATCAGTGTCCTGTGTTGATTAAATCCTGATGTCTACTAGGATATATACTTTCTAAAATTTATTCTGTGCTTTTCTGCTGAAACAGTGTTATGGTTAGAATACGTTCACTAGAATGTATCAGAGCTTATGTATCAGATGTTAGCTGCAGTGGTGACTTGTTCATATTGTTACATTCAAAGATTTTATCTTTGATAAACGGGAACCTTCAGATAAACGTGTTTAGTGAATTTTCACATTGTATTCTAAGAAAACTGTAGTGAGCAATCATGCTGGTAACCGTGAAATTTATAGTTTATCGTATAGCAGTTATGTAAAATATATATTACTTAATGTAAGGAGAAAGTTTTAGCGTTTACATAAACGGACTTAAGAAATGTTATTTTAATTCCTAATTCTATGATAGATGTGCTGTTTCCAGTCTGTACCAGCCTGGTTTCTGTGCTATTTAACTTATCCATTTTGTAAATATGCAGTCCAGTTATTAACATTTTTTAAATAGTTATGAAAACATACAATTATTGCTTTAGTTATTTAACAGTAACATTGAATGTTATCCTATTAATATAATTATATATAATCAATATATGTAGAAAATGGTCATGTTGTTAAGAAACATAGGATCAAAAGGACACATGAAACCTGGATTAATGTTTTAATTTGATTTTTAATTTTAACAAGACTGGTATAAAGTATAAAAAGACTGGTAAATATGTTACACAATGAAAGGACTAGTTGCAAAGAGCCTGCGATGTTTCTCATCTTGGAGGATCCTAAGAAATCAGCTTCAACCATTTGGCTGGGCAATTTGTTCCTGCCTTGCACAAGCCAATAAATAATTTAAATGTGCTTTGTTTAATTTTATCTTTATTCTTCTGTCAGGAAGATAAAGAAAGATATTGGTGGAGTAATAATCAACACTCGCACGTATTTCACCGGCAGAGATGGAGTCTATCGCTTTCGTCCTGATTTATTGCCAAAAGCACACGAATGGATTATAAGAAGAGGTAGTATTACTCTAATGGAACAAGTAATAGGTTTATTCCATGCTGAAAAGAGAAAAAAGAAAACACAACGTTTTGGCCTTGGAGCCTTCTTCAGGTGTCAAGAAGGTGTCATCTGAAGAAGGCTCCACTGCCGAAATGTTGTGTTTTCTTTCTTCTCTTTTCAGCAGGGAATAAACCTATTACTTGTTCCTTTGCAGCTTACGCATGCTGATGCAGCTACCCACCTGTATTACTCTAAGGCCTACCAAAGTTTTTTGTTTTTTAACTTAAATTTTTATTTAATGGAATAATTTTATGATGTTATTTTCAATTCAAACAAAGGACCGTCTGGCTTGTACTTTAGAGGTAATGTGAATTTCTTCGTTAGAATAGTAGGATTTTATACAGATAAAACCCTGCCATACTGTATTTCTAAAGTAGCGTGCAAGATCAATGTGGATTGAAGTTTTTTTAAAGTGTTAAAACCTTTACAGCTAAAAAGGCCATGAAGGTTGGAATTTCACCAGTTATCATTGATACCACCAATGTCCTTCTCTGGCACATGAAACCATATGTTCAAATGGTAAGTGAGAGTGATTTAAAAATATTGTGTCATTATCAGAACATATTTATAGCCAAACAACAAATAATGTACACAATGTGGTCATATAAATTTTCTTTCTAGCCTACAGTTGATGTCATTTTATTAAATAGAACTTTTTGTAAAATAGGTCATCAGGGGAGAAAGTTGTGCAGCTCATTTATGTAGCAGCACAACTTAACATGTCTCAGCATTACTAAGTAATCACCCTTTGTTGTATAGAACCTAGCCCATTTATCCTTTAGCACTGACAGACTTGGGAACAGTGTATCAAGTCTCTCAGGTCCAGTATCTACCATGCAGAATGGATGGTCTAACTGTTCAAACCCACAAGGGGTAGTGCTGGCCTTGTCAGTTCTGGCCTTTTGAGGTGGAATGTTGTCAAGTAGCAGCAGACACCGGTGGATCAATACTTCAATTTTTTGGGCAGATGACCTTACAGAGTTGGACCATCAGGTTGACCCAATATTGAAAAATTATTCAGTTGGCACTACCACTTTGAATCCCAGACATTATTGGCTGTTATTATAGCAGTTGTGGCTGAGGTGTGAAGCCTCTTTCAAGGATGGATTTTGCTGGGTGCTCACGCTTTGTTCTTGAATTAGTCTTGACCTTGTGTTCCCAGTGGTGAGCCCATGTTAGACAGTCTCTGATGGATCAGTGTTGAAGGGCTCCACCTCTTCTGTGTACTCCACTGGTGTGGGGGCATGCTTCAACTTCAGGATAATTTAGGATTATTCTATTTTAGACACCCAGTACTGTGTAGGGTGTGTTGTTGTTGTTTTATTTTCAGTCCTCTAATTAACACCGCCAGATTTGTATTGTTTGTTGTGTGTTGTAAATTGTTTTAATTTATTTTAATTGAGCAAAGCATACCAATCTGTATTCTGTTTTGTTTTGTTTAGTTACACTGATGATCACCAGTTATTCGATGCTTTGTTGTAGTTGTGCCTTTTCTGATTCATCCTGTTTGATCTTGTTATGAAAGTTGTCTTGAATTATAAACAATTCTTGTTTTATTTCAGTTGTGGTTAATGGCATTACTTAGTGTGATCTATTTGGTTCATTTTATTTGTGTTTAATCTAAATGTTACGACTTAAAATACAGAAGAAGCTGTGTTGCTGATTATTTCTTATTGATATTTTCTTTCAGGCTCTTCAGTATTATTATAAAGTCATTTTTAAAGAACCGGAAGGCAACAGTGAGCAGGATGCTTCGGAATTGTACAGGTAGATTAACTGCACAAATTATCTTCTAATTTACCTAATTTAAGAGGCTCCAGATCTAAAATAAAGAAAGCTGATATGGCTTTCTATTTTGATTTTGAATCATATGAATTTGATGCTGTTCACTTGAGTGATTCATAATGCAGAAAACCTAATCTTTCTAAACATTTCTTGCATTGATTGGCAATTTACACTGGCCTTCTTTAACATAACATGTGGGGCTTCTGAGTGGCTTGACTGTTGTAGGTGGTTATAGATATATTATAATTAATTATAGATATAATTAATATTAATGAAGTCCAAGATATCCTAAAATGCTTTGCATGCAGAAGGGGGGCCATTTATCCCTCCTATATTGCAGCACCCATTATGCGCCAGCTGTCCCACTACACAGCAGGTCAAGTGAATTAAAGGAGGAGATGTAGTTAGGCCAGATTGAACAAACTTTAATTGGGATGCAGTCAGAATATTAAGGCTAACACCCCTGCTTGTCATGGGATCCTTAATGGGAACATGTAGCCAAGATTTCTGGCTTGTCTGAAAGACAGCATCTACTCAAGCTGTGTCCCTAGTCGCCATTCTGGTGCATTCGTTTGGACGTTCTCATCCAAGAGTGCCACCTACACCAGTTAGAGCAACAACCTCATTTTCCTTAGAAGTCTCCTGTCCCAGTACCAGGAACATTCTGCTCCTCCCATCCAATTCATAGTTACTCAGCAACCAATCACAGTAATGAACAGTCTCTTATTTTGCTAAAATTGATGAAACACCGGAATTTCCAGTACCAGTATTGCTTTCGTATAAGCTCTTTCCGTGTTTGTACAAGTGTGCTGCTTTTCTTCAGAATCACTCTTGGTACAAAAGCCATCCACTACAGAGATAGTCATTGCTGCCAGGTTATCAAAGTCAGGCCTGAGGGTCATGCTGTCTTATTTCCTGGTTTAATGTTGCTTATGTAGGTCAACTGCACGTATCGTTGACTTAGAAAGCCTTGAACGGAATCAGATATGTCTTTGTGTTGAACATTATCCATCTTCTGCACTCCAGCTTCAATGCATTTGTGTTTGTGCACGTGAGAGGCAGTGGGTATGCCAGGATACTTGGAAATCATGCTGGTTTTGTGAAGCATTTCAATTTTTCATTGAAACAGAAGATCCGGCTGCAGAGTGCCAGAAAGGGTCATAGGGAACATGGTGGAGAAGTTCAAAATGGTCAGATCACAATGGCAAGTGCTGAATTCCGAGGAGCCCTGGAAATGTCAGGATTGAAATCCGATTAAAAACCTTCAGTATAGCAGCAAGGCTTTGCCACGCTGTCCTCTGGCTAATGTGTTAGATGCTGGATGTTTTTAATACATCGGCACAGAAAAGTACAATTTTGAATATTTCTTTCTTCAGATTATGTTAAATATAACAACTTTGAGTATTTGCAGTATTTGCAATGGGTTTTAAGTGTGGAAATGAAAGGGAGTTTTAATTATGCAGGTAAAGTTTTGTTCTTTTACACAAACAAAAAACATAGAAGATAATCTGATTTCTGATGTTCTTGAAATAAGTTTCACTAGAATTCTTAGGCATTACAAATCTGATGCATAGAAAACAGTTTGGTAGATTTTATTTTTTGTAGTAGACTGGAAGGCTAACAGGTGTAAACTAAACTTGAGATACTGTCCTGTTCTGAGTTGTTGCCTGTTTCAATATGTCAGATCTACCATTGGAAATTCTAATTATTTTAAAAAATTATTTTTTTTATTATTTATTACAGCTGTGATATAAAAGAACCTTCTAATGTGGAACCATTTGGTTAATTTCAGTATTATGTGAAAGACTTTTCTCATTCCAATACATTGATTTTTCCTTTTAGGTTATATATTTTTCAACTGTTTTTAGTCTGCAGGAGCTACCAGTATTAACCCATTTATTCATGTTTTATATTGCATTTTTGTACTCTTGGAATATTTTGACCAGTTTGTTACTGTTAAATAAAGTCCTACTAAAAAAAATGATCAATTCTTTTGATAAATTATTTTAAAATACAGTAATTTCAAGAATTCTAAGATTAAATACACCATTAATACTTGGAGTTTTGTTGTTTGTTTTGTGTTTCTGAAATGTTTAAGTAATGTTTATTGCACAGTAACATAATAATAAACATTTTTATGTACTTCCTATAAACGTAGCATGTCAAAGAGCTGTGCACTAGGTGTAAAACAAAAGTTATAAAGACAGCAATTTACAAAGTGAACACATATTAGAAACACAGGAAGTTAGAAGTGCTGAACTAGAAACATGGTCATTAGAAAATGGTGAAGACAGACTCTCAAGTAAGCCTTTCTGAAAACCTGTTTATTGCAGTCAGTGGCATAATAAACCCTAAAAGAAATAAAAAAGATTTTTATTAATGAATGGAAGTACAGTAGCTCACACTGTTTTAAAAGTTTTAAGTATTTAAGTATTTTACCAATTTACATAAATACATCACGTTATTTTAATGTATGATTCTGATTCCAGAGTCATTCTGTTCCTCGGATAAAAACAAATAATTTTGTAACATTTTCACAAGTACATTCTTGCACTGCGTCTTTCGGGCGAGACGTTAAACCGAGGTCCTGATTCTCAGTGGTCATTAAAGATCCCCGAGCATTTCTCGTTAAGAGTAGGGAGTTATCCCGGTGTCGGGGCCAAATTCCCCCCCTCGGCCTTTACCGTGGCCTCCAAATTGTCCCCCTGTATGATTGGCTTGAAGTTGCCCTGCGATGGACTGGTGTCCTGTCCAGGGTGTACCCTGCCTTGCGCTCGTTCCTTGCCGGGTAGGCTCCGGCTTCCCCCGACACCGTATGGTATAAAGCGGCTTTGACAAATGACATGAGACGACATTTTTGAACTTTCTTGAAGGCAAATATTTTATACGTTTTTCTTGTTTTGTCCAGGGATTTATTTTCGAACGTAATAATATTTAAACCGCCGGTCAAAACCGAAGCAAACCTAAATCTATTCAGATGCATCAAAGGCAGTTTACTGCCACATGAATCCAGGAGAAAGTTGGAAAGCAGAGCACAGGTAGTAAAGGCTGCCTGTGTCCTAAAGAAAAGGTTGAAGAGGTTCCTGCAAATTAAGAGCCAATACAAACCAATGTTTTAAAACAGGAGCAATGACATGAAATAGTCCCAGGCTTTCAAAGGTTTGTTAAATCACTTTTTAAAAACGCATTGACATTAAAGTTTATATTTTAAAATGAACACAGCCTTTTCGCTTTTGAGAATCCAAATAGATTTTTTTGCATGCAATATATTACGAATACATTGATGAATATTTTCCGACTTCACAGATCGGACCAATTTGGGACCTCTGCTTTCCTGCTCTGAGCCACGCATTCTTGCTGCCAGTCAAGAATAATTATTGTTTCCATGTCTGTTTTTTTTTAATACAAAACACATATAGCTGAATAAAACAATGAATTAAACGCCATTCAAAGGTGAATTTAACAATTGTACAAAAAAATGAATGTATTTTTAACCATTACTATATGGCACTTCTGCTTCTTATTTAGTCATTTAGGCACTTAAGTCAAATCCAGTTAATTAACAAGTACTGGTTGTGAACGAGGGCTAAACCATTTGTAATAAATAACAAGCAAAGAGATAATGGAATGGAGCAAATCGGCCAGAAGGGTATTAATAAAGGTACTGGGATAAATGCACTCTGTTATCAAGTAGTTCAGTATTCTGAATCATCACAGGTCTGAACAACATAGATTTAATGAAAGTATTTTTAAAACAGAATTTCTTAAATACTACGAATGCACTATGTATGGAAAAGAACAACACGTAATGGTTGCTTACATTGACAGACGATTAAAGCAAAACATTTAACCAATGGGATTTTTAGCCTATCGTGATGAACACCTTTCCAAGAAATACCTGTCAGTAAGCCCCCCCAATTTAGACATAAAATGTAAGTATATGATCATTATGTGAAGTGTGACTCTTCATCATAAAATACGTTATACAGAGCTGCAGGTCAAAATGAAACAATTGTGCAAGATTGATTAATGTGACAATACGCAACTACACACGGTGTGAATTTCATTTTGTGTCTGGAAGATGCTGGAGTAGTCACTGTGTAACCCGAGGTGAAAACCTTCACTGAAATTGGAATTAATTTATGTGCAAGGTGTGTGTCAAGTGAGAGGGACGGAATATTTATCTCACTGCAAAAGGAGAGAGTCTTGCAGGCGGCGCTGTGGGTCTGTGAAAGAACTTGGGGCTGCGCTCTGTTGGACATCTTCCCCTAGGTGGCGCTGTGCCTCCGCGACTGTCTGTTCTCGGTGGCTCGATTGGTGCAGCCGGAGACAAATTGGCGCCATTTTGAAGCCAGGAGGAGGATCAGAGCTGCAAGAAGACACGATTGGCTGTTATTCATCAAACTAGGTAGGATTAATTAACACCAAATGCTGCAAATTTCAAATCAAAAGGTGTATAACAACAATGGTCACGCAGGGGTGCTTAGAAGTGCAAAGAATAGTGCGTGAAAGACTGTTAAAAGAAGCGTTTGTTGTCTGGCGGCTGCTGTCCGCTTTTCCTGCCTGTATGGTGCTTGCAGCACCGGGGAAGAGAAAGAGACTCCACGGGTTCACCTCCCCCCCGCCTCTAAATGTGAAATATGTTTATTTCGCAAACATAGTTTTTGCATTTAGGACGGGACTTCATATGTGGGCTCCGTGCATGCTCTTTGACATGTATATTTCTCCCTGAACGTGTGATTGTATTGCGGTTTTGACGGTGCTCGTGTGTATGAGAGCTGGCCTGGTGAGAGGTGTCCGTACCACGACAGTGTGTTTTCCTTAATTAGCGCTTGCCTGCTTCAGTCGCACTGAACACTGGCAATAACAATCTCCTCAAGACCCGGTTTTCACGGTGGCGCGTTTCGCGGTAGTTTGATTTCGACCGAAATCCGGTTGATGATAAGCTGGTGCATGTTTTGTTTTGGGTTTTTTTTTTGTCTTCATTGACCGAGTCCCTGGATTTAGCGGTGTGGCAAAAGAAAAACTCAAATCCCCCCCAGCCCCCCCAAACCAAGAAGCAGCAGCAGCGGCACGGCCGTGTGAAAATATGATCAGTTGTTTGGGTTAATCTTGGCATTGTGACGGTCCGGTAGGTCTCGGGGAAGCCATCGGCTGCCACGGCTGCCTGCTGCTACACACGTTGTTGGTGCCCGTGAAGCTCCACGACTGGGCTGGACGGCGATTGCCTTCATCGGGTGGAAATACGCGACGGGTTGTCCCGTCTTTTGGAACGCAGTGCCCCCCCCGCCCCCGCTCCCGGAAAGGTCCACGCGTCTCGCACGCAGGGAGGGAATTTGCGTGGTTTTGGCGGTCCGTGTAGCACAGGCTGGGGGCGGGGTGGTGCGGGAGAGCTCGCCAAAACTTTGTTTTGAAACGCGACCGCCAGCCCCTCTCTCGAAACCAAGCCGGGCTCCGGGGAGATTACGTAACGCGACGGGGTTGCATTTGTGTCACCTCGCTCGCTGCACCGTTCTTTTTTTTGGGGGGGGTCGTTTTTCGGCAGATGAAAGGCGCCCACCCCTCCGTATTTCCGCTGGGACGGTGTTTTGCGCCTTTCGAGAGCACGACCCCACACGTGAAGTCGGTGCGGTGCGGGAGCTCTGCGTGGCGACCCGGTGAAGCGGGAGTGTAGCCTGCCGTTCCTGCGACGCCAGAGCGCGGTGTTCAGGTGTCTTTTCTCACCGCCGTGTACAATCCGCCGACCTTATGCTCGACTCGACAGAGTGACCAACCGTAAAGGTTTTGTTTTTATCCGAACGAAGGCTGTTGCTCTATGTGGTGTTTGGCTTTGCAAGGCGTTGCTCCGTGTATTCTGCTTTGACCTGTCTTCTCCTTTGCCGGTGTCGGAGGGGGGGATTCCGGATTCGCCACTTGAAACGTGGAGGTAACAGTAACGTCTACATTTTCTCGAAGTTAAACCCCTAAGCTCTTGTTGTTTGGCTTTTTAACGTTAGTTTGCACGTTGATATTTTGTTTAAAAGCTTAGGGGGTCCATCAAGGCGCTTCGTCTATGAAAGACAAAGTAATAGCTTTTGTCGGTGTCCACCAGTTTGTCTTGTTTCCTGATCAAAAGTGTGATATAGGTTGTTAACAGGTTTTCAGTCCAGATGGGCTTGTTAGGACTTGAACCAGCTCATCAGTGGCTCATAACTGCACCAGTTTGACAGCTTCTCCCTTCTGTTTAACTGTTTTTTTTTCCCCAAAGACATATACCAGCCCTCTGGGACCAAAACTGAGGATCCCTGTTTTGAACCTGAGAATAGTGTTAAAAATTCCCTCAGAAATATATTTTGTATAAAGTGGTGATCATCATAAATGGTGTGCGAGGATTGTGATTGACCAGCTGTATGGCTTCTGCAGGATAGCAGCCAGGGAAACGACAGTCGTAGTTAGTACCCTGTTCTCACAACTCATAATAGCAAATTGAGTTAAAAGTCCTGGGTTAGCCAGTACTGTTGTATCCTTGGGTAAGATAATTCACTCTGGTTGCTTCTGTTGAATGATCAGCCACTCGAATACAAATCTACCTCTTTGGATGTGTATATCAGCCAATTTAATAATGGTACAAGTGGATAATTTGAGTTGTGATCCCATTTTGTTGAACTGTTCGACGACAAGAGGTTTCCATTGAGAAACTCTTGCTTATGTGGTTGCTTGATATTTGTTAATCCAAAAATCACCTCAGCTTGTTTCTTGAAAACCTGCGTAGCTTCTGGATATTAGCTGCATAGTTTGTTCAAGACCCTTACTACGCTTGGTGTAAAGATGCTCTTCCTGGTTTCCATCCTCAGTGCTCTTAATTTTTAGTTGTCAGGTGTGACCCTATGTCCATGTTTCAGTGTTGACCGGGAAGTAAGTTAACTGTCTCACTACTTCCGTCTATCCTCAAAGGCTGGCGTCCTGCGGGTGTCAAGCAGTGTATTCCGGTCACAGATGGTTTGACCCTTTAGCTGAATCATCAGGTGAATTAAGTAAGTAAGATCAGAAGTGTAGTAAAGACCAGCAGACAAAGGGCTGAAGTTGGCCATCCTTATGATTGTTCTCCTTGCTGTGCTTTGCTGTCTTGAACTGTGAAACAGCTACCTCATCCGGGAAGTAAGAATGCAGCAGATCTTGAACACTAGTAGCTACAGATGTGTAGATACCTTTAGATTGCTTTGTGAACCCAGGCACATGTCTCGTGAGCCCTGGCAACAGAAATAGATTTTGCAGTTGCTCTCTATGTTGAGAAGGAATAGAGCACTTCTGGTTAATACGATGCACTTTTTCACTTCCAGGTTAGTACGGGGAGACTTGTGCAGTGAATAAAAAAAGCAAATTCACTGCCTACATTGCTAATAATTCTGATTGCCAAGAAGAGAAGCATTATGTCTGAGTGTTTCAGGGCTTAAAGTGTTTTAATCAAACAGTGTCATTCCCAGCTTGGACAGATAACTGCAGTATTCTGTTGTTGTTTTGTAGTAAGAAAGAGGTCAGATTTTAAAAGGTACATGATAATATCAAGCTTTCGTTAACAGAACATATTGGAATGCTGCATTTTTGCTCGTTCTGAGTTGAGCGCCAAAGGGAATAGTGTCACTGTGGTTTCAAGTTTTGGAATTTTGGAAACTCATCCACTGCCTATAGCCTTATCGTTACAGGGGGTGTAATAGTTGCAGTGGTAGATAAAATTTAGGATTGCTGCAGTTTGTGCGTAATTTTTGGACAAAGTATTCTTTATCATTTGCTGTTCTAGCATTGCTTTTTTTGTTGCTGCCTTGCCCACATTTGCAGCTGGGGAAAAATGTAGGTGTTCAGATTGAAGAAAAATGTAATGTCGTCCGCTCCTCGTACATATCTCCATAGAGTTCCTGGTCTAAGTCACCTTGATGAGGAGAAACGAAGTCTGGAAGTTCTGATTCAGTGCTGGGTGTCACAGTGATTCATTTCCCAGACAGATTATCTGCTTTTTTTGGAGCTGTGCTTTCATGGCATTTTGCAATGTGTGCTTTTGCTGCAAAATCTTGGGAAACGAGCACCAACACAAACGAAAAATTCCTTCACTTCTGTATTAGAAGCTCTGCCGGTTGGTGGTTTGTACTGTATTTTTATCATGTAGTTGGTTGCAGCATTGAAATAAAGTTTTAAAAATCCATTTTAAGTCATGTTTGTTGAGCAATTCAAATTCATTATATCCAAAGCAGGTTGTGATATGAGCATGGTTTTGTATTTTCCTATGAGAGTTCATTAAGGAGGATAAAGTTGTATTATGTATTCACTGTTTCTGTGCTTTTAAAGTATTTCTAAAATATGCTTAATTTTCTAAAACATCTTTGAAGAAGGCATGCTAATTTACTGAACAGTAGTTTTGCAGCATTTTTTTAACACTAGGAAATTAGTATTTAAAATATAATTTTTTAAAATATTAATTGTTATTGCACCTCTATGTTTGCATATCATTCACAATATTTTGCTCACAGTAACTGGGATATGAATTTTTGCAGTCTTGGTGGTTCTGTACTGAAATCTATTATCTTTGCCTTTTTTTTCCATTTGCCTATTAAATCACTTTGTGAATTGATGGCCTTAATTCTGTGTAGACAACAGATGCACAGTGATGTTGATGGCTGGAGATTTTGACGCTGTTAAAAAAAAATTAGCTGAAATCGCTGGTTGAGTCCTACAGTGATGTGTTAATTCTGATGATGCCTTGAATTTAAAAAGCATTTAGTATGCTAAAGGCACTTGCGTCTAGGAGGAGACCCAATTCATTCACCTTTGAATTGCATTTCAGGTGGAGAAGTGAGAAATTACTTCACTGGTTGAATTAAGGAAATGTTTCCATAATCCATGTTTTGGCTGGATTGTTCAGTTTCAAAGTGAAAATGAGCCGGGATGACTTGGTTAATATCCGTAGTCTTTGATTACGGGTGACAAGGGATTTTTAATGACCGAGTTGTCAGGAATTCTGTTCACCTCTGAAGGGTGACACCTCCTGAAGCACAGTGTCCCTGGAGTATCCCAAGTCTCATAGTCTTAGCTACACAGCTTTGATCGGTGCGCAAAGCGTGATGTTAACAGCCCATTTCTCGAAGATCAGTTTTCTGATTAAGAACAGAACATTTGAGCCTGAAGCAAATTGATGTGAAAAGAGTTTATCACATCATTTTCAAAATTGCAAAAGGTCAAATTAAGGATAATGTAAATTAATATTTTAAATCTCAGTTTGACACTATTGATATTTTCAGTACATATGATCAAGATAACAGCACGTAGAAAAACATTAAACATTTCTGGTTTGAATGAACAATGGTCTGAAGTTGAGGGCTTAGATTTATTGTATGTAAATTCCTTGCCTTGTACATTTTTTTTTTTAGACTTGAGTTAATTGTTAGTAAAATCCTTTAAGTAGATAGTTTAGGTTAAGGTTTTGACTGTATAGTGCAGGAACGGCCACGAGACATTCATCTGCTGCTAGCCTGGCTGCATTGGCAGGGACTCTGTTACATGCCTTTTGTTGTTCTCTCTGGACCCTAAGCACCTGCTTGTTAGTTGGGACCCATTTGAACAGTGGAGCTCTTTGTCCTGTATTTTTTATTTGACTTACTGAAATGTGGTCAGTCTTTCCAAAATTACAACTACTGTATATAAATAACATCTTCCTTTTTGCACAGCAAAAAATGAAACTACCGAGCATCCGTATAAGTCACACAATACCTCACGTGTGGTCCCTGATAGCCAGTAGATTTATTACCATTTATCTTCTCACAACTGGCAACCCACTGAAGCTAAGGAGGTGTGAGCCTGGACAGTACCTGGCTGTGCTGAGTTTGCCACTGGAAGAGCTGTTAGTGGGGGCAGTAGGGGGTGCTCACCCTGCGGTCTGTGTTGGTCCTAATGCCCCAGTATAGTGACAGGGACACTATGCTGCAAAACAAATGGTGCTGTCCTTCGGATGAGACAAAACTGAGGTCCAGATTTTCTGTGGTCATTAAAAATCCCAGGGCTTGTCTGAGAAACAATAGGGGTGTTAACCCTGGTGTCCTGGCCATACTTCCTGGTGGCCTTTACCAATCATATCTTCCTAATAATCCCCATCTTTGAACTGGCTTCATGACTCTGTTCTCCTCTACAGTGAGTGCTAATGTGTGGTGAGTGTACTGGTGCACTGTGGCTGCCCTCACATCATCCAGGTGGGGGCTGTACATCGGTGGTGGTGGAGGGGAGTCCACATTACCCATAAAGCACTTTGAGTGGAGTGTCCAGAACAGTGCTATATATGTTATTAAGATATTATTGTTATTTATATATCTTGGAACTGGTTTTTACCCCCTTTAAGTCTCCCCACCACTGTAAAAGAAATTGGCCAATTTAAGACATAGGGTCTTAAGGTTTTTAGTTGGAGTCAAAAAAAATAGTGGAGACCTTCATCAGTCCCCTGCGTTCCTACAACTTCAGTTTTTGTAGCTGTTTGTGAATCTGTGATAACCAATGTCAGAAGGCAGGTCTCCTTTTGACCAATGTGCGCAATACACACAGCTTAACGGGCCGTGCTCATGAAGAAGATCGCTTGAGTGAGGAATTATGACTGGAAGCCGTTTTCTTCTATTAAACATGTGCCAGTCAGTTTCAGTTTGCAGGCGAGATGAAAAAAGCTCATTTTCGCATTAGTGGGAAGATGTTGGTGGGCTTA